AGGGGTTATCAGGGGGGATATGAAGGTGTTGGGGGGTTGTATGGGGGTATTGGGGGCGGGTATGGGGGTTTTGGTGCTGCTGTGACCCGGTAGGCCCAGAACTTTTCGGTTTGGTGCTTGAGAGTTGGAAAACCAATAGGCTGGTTAAAATAGCCACGGAAGCATTGTCTTTTTTGCCTACCACTACCAGGCAGTGCCCAAACGCCACTCCTGTCCCCTGTGCCACCTTTCTCCAATCCTTCCGAGGGGCAAGCAATTCCTTAACCGCAAAGGGGAGAGGCTTCGAAAGGGAGTTGGAGGAGGTGGTTAACCACGAGAGGAAAGAACATACACGCCATACATACATACCATCAGCGTCGGCAGACGACTTATCTACCGCTGCTTCACCATCCACCATATTGTCTGCCTTGGAGAAGAGCAGTGGGAGCAACTCCCCGACGACACACTTGATGGCTGCCTTAATGTCCGTGATAAGACTCTCCCGGTATGAACGCAGAACGGCCGGAAGCTTGGCCTGCAACAAACAAAGTTGAACGGAAAAGAAAAGGAAACCACCGCTTGCCCGTCAGACTGAATCCTTTTGACCATAACCATAACCACGTGAGCATAATTCAAAAAAAAAAAATTACACAGAGCCATGAACAGGCAATCGGATGACCACGGCTCAGATTCTGGAACAACGAACCAGATGACAATGGTCCAGACCACGGTCAAGCTTCTAGGACAACCATAGTTCGCATTCCGAATCACGATGACCATCAACCCGGCTTCAAACCATAGCCCCATATTCTGAACTGGACGGTTATGACAAAAGTCCGAACCATGTGGCCATAGAGTGTCAACCAGATGACCATGGTCCAGTTTCTAGACCAGGACCCTATTTCTCAAACGCCTGAACCGGATGGTTATGACAAAGGTCAGAACCATGGTCAACGTTGTGGACCAGATGCACATGTTCCTGTTTCTAGACCAGGAGCCTATTTCTCAAAGGCCTGAACCGGATGGTTATGACAAAGGTAAGAACCATGGTCAATGTTGTGGACCAGATGACCATGGTCCTGTTTCTAGACCAGGACCCTATTTCTCAAAGGCCTGAACCGGATGGTTATGACAAAGGTCAGAACCGTGGTCAATCTTGTGGACCAGATGGCCATAGAATGTCAACCAGATGGCCATGGTCCTGTTTCCAGACCAGGACCCTGAACCGTAGCCCAGTTTCTGCACGAGACAGCAATCGGATTCCGAAAGACCATCAGCAAGGTTCTGGAGCAGACGACGATCGGCTGCATTTTGAACCATGGTATACGTTGTCCACCAGAACATACAAAGAACACCAGATAAGCAGCCCACATAGGTCTGAATAACTCACCATACAACCATGAGCAGGCTACACAATGCGCACATGCATCCTGGGGAAAGCAGGGTAGAGAGAGAGAGAGAGAGAGAGTCTACACAACACACAAACAAACCTACTGGCTGTTGCTTCCAGCAGAGAGCCACAAATAGAGTGCCTTGCTTGCATTTGGCCACGGTGAGGCGAATCCTGAGAATTGGCAACGATGAGGCTGCCTAGTTCCAGGCATGCAGCTCTGTAGTTCAAACCGGGAGGAAGAGGAAGACGAGGGGGACAAGGAGGATGTGGAAGACGAGGACGCCGAGGAGCAAGAAGAGAAGGAGAAGAAAGAATACAATCACGGTGGTGGTGATGATGATGATGAAGATGATGATGAGGAGGAGGAGGAGGATGAGGATGACGACGATAATGATGATGATGGAAAGAGGGACCATTTCCTTCACGACGTTTTGCAGACATCAATCATCCATCTCCAAGATCTACTGGTTAGCAAGGTCATCATCAACCATACTCGCATCCACAAATGTGCACTGCACACGTGTTTCAGACTCCACACAGGGTACGGAAAAACTAGTTGCACCACACAAATTCCCACTTTTCATTTTTCTAGGTACCCCGGTACTTGTGGCCATTGGTCCCATCTGGGCACCTGGAAAAGTTGAGCCAGTGCTCAGTGAGGGCATAGGGAATCAAGGCCAAGTCCAATTGACGCAATGGATACTCGGCAAATTTTGACAGCTTTCAGAATAGCCTCTGCCAAATACCCAAGCTTTGAGGGCCATCCAACAAAATTTCCCAAATAAACAAAGGAAAGTAACAAAATGTCAAAATGATGATTATGAGTAAATCATGTGAAAACTCGAACTCCTAAAAAAACTTGTTTCCAACTTCATAAGTCACCAGAGTAGCACAGCCGGCTGTCAGCACTGCCCGACTGGTCGTCACTGGTCGACGACCGACCTGCCGACCAGTCCACTGGCCAGCACCTACCAGTCCACTGGTGGCGGCACCTACCAGTCAGCTGGTGGCTGGCACCCAGTAAAACCTGTCTCTTATACACATCTAGATGTGTATAAGAGACAGAGAGGGGGGAGCTCCGGAACAAGGGGAGGGAGGTTTGGAACAGGAAGAAGGCTCACGGTTTGAACTTTGATTCTTTGTGATTCTGTGAATGGAGATTGGATGGTTCGTTTTCGATCCTTACGATTCATTTGCACGTTTGGAACTTTGAAATTTTTGAGGCATGGGAAGGAGGTTCGGAACGATGGGAGGGAGGTTTGTAAGAAGGGGAAAGGAGGCTCGGAAGAAGAAGGGGAGTGAGGTCCGGACCAAGGGGAGGGAAGTTCGGAAGAAGGGGGAGGGAGGTCCGAAGCAGGGAAGGGAATCCGATCATGTTCATGAACTTCAATCGGATTCTCTCCCGTGTGCCGAACCTCCCTCCCCCTTCTTTATGTTCGGATGTTCAGATTATTCGGAATGTCGAGGAGGTCGGTTCCCCCTTAGATTAACTTGCTCTGCGGTTTTACTTTCCGACGCTCTTATTTTGTCTTCTCGACTGTATGAGCAGAGATCCTAGAGAATCATGGTTCGTTTTGGGAACTTTTCATTCGTTTGCAACATTTTTGACAAAAGTATCTAGTTGTTCACCTTTGTAACTTCGACTTCTTCGGAACATTGGATACATTCATTCGTTCGCTTTCGGAATCTTGGTTCATTGAAGTTGATTGAACTTTATTTTATGTGCATTCCTTTGCTTTCAGAATCATGGTTCGTTTTCGTTCATTTGCGAACTTTCGAGCACATTATGTACTTCTTTATGTTCGGATGTTCACATTATTCGGAATGTCGAGGAGGTCGGTTCAGATGACAAATGGGGGAGATTCGAAAGAAGTGGCAGGAAGGTCAGGAAGAAGGGGGAGCGAGGTTTGGAACTTTGAAAGGGGGAAGAAGGTTCCCAAGAAGGGGGAGGGGCGTCTGCAAGATGGAGGAAGAGACTGGTGTCTCCTCTGGAATATAAGGCATTGTCCGAGAAAATTTCAGGCCCGATACAGTGAATAGGATTGCCACAGGGAAGACGGTAGTAGGAGCCAAGGTACAATCACAGGAAGAGGAGGGCGAATTCCATCCCAGAGGAGTCTAGACGGTGGAGTTTCTTAACCATACAGAGAGCCATTGCCAGAGATGTGCAAAGGGCTGTGGTTGTGCGTGTGTGTTGGGGGGAGGGCAGGGTGGGTGCCGGGAGGAGGAGATTCGGGGACGGAAAGAGGGAAGGCATGTACAAAGACGGAGATAAAAGGGTGAAAAAGGTGGCCACCCTTGGAGTGCAGAGAGTGAAATGAGCTTTTGAGCAAAAGGTGCCACACATAAGCTTCAGACACCCAGGACAAGAGTCCTTCAGGACATCCATTAAAATTGGGACGATACAGAGAAGATTAGCATGGCCCCTGCACAAGGATGACACACATAAATTGAGGAATGGTCCAAATGGAAGAGGAAAAAAAACACCCAGGGCACGAGAGGACAGCGACGGGGGTTGCATAAGACCCACCTGCATGGCACCAGCTCCAAGCACAAGTTGGCATGTCCTTGAGTTGAAGAACTTCAAAATCTCCGCAACTCTATGCACGACTTCCGTGGCAAGAGCTGGCAAGAAGTTTGCAATGTCGACGTACTCGGCAATCATCTTCAGCAAAATTAAGGCACTGCAATCAGCATACAATCATACAACAAATGCAAGCAGATGCCGGCACACACACCCTTCTGAACATTAGTTGCTACTATACGTGAGGTATCGCAGGAATAGATTACCTCAGTTTAAAGAACCGCATCAAGTAAACAGAGGGATATATATGCTACCATCTTCACCAGAATAGAACGCCCGGTCGTTTTCACTGCATCCGGACTGAAAGGTGAGCCAAGTATAATGACCCGTTGCGTTCTATTCGTGTGAAGACAGTAGTTGTACGCAATTTCCCAAACCTTGCTCCAGGTTCCCAAAGCTATGCACATTTTCTTTTCTTTTTTAATTCAAAATTGTAGTATTGAAGTGTTGAAATACGAACCCGAGTTCGGAACCAGATGGCGGCACAGATGATGGTGCTTGACGAGTACAACCATAATTTTCTGAATTGCTTGTGGCCAGTCAGCCCAATGATGATATTGCAAGGCCGTCGTTGATCTGATCAGCAGGAGGAGAACATAAACCGAACACAAATCATCCATGTACACAGAACCTGAACGAGGAATAGACACGGGAAAGATTGACCGTCCCACTGTGACAGAACTCCCGTCCATGAACGCCACACTCACACATAGCATGATGTTTAGAGAAAACAAGGGCAATACAACAATATAGGGGCCTGGAATGAGAATTCGACATGCACATCAGCTAGACATGATAAAAATACTCGCATACCTTCCTACGACGTGAAACTTGGATTCTCTCACAACAAGAGTCCTTATGGATTGCTTCTCTTTGACCTTCTTCCCCTTCCCAACTGCCACCGACGAAGCCGTTGACGAGCCATTTGATCCTGTCGTCGAGTCTGCACTAGACCGACCCTCTCTGAGCTCTGATGATGCGCCTCCCGATCGAGCACTATCTACCCCATCCCCAGTCTCTCTCTTCACATTCTCCGGCGAGGGCCCTGGAGCCCCCGAGGGTCCCGCTTCTCCTACTTCTGATGCCTTTGCAGCCTCCGCATCACCGCCACTAGGTTCTGCTCGTTGGCTTTCTGCTGCAGCTCTTGGTGGATCTTCGGAGGTTGCTGCAGCATCTGACGGTTGTGATTTCTCCGCAGGTCCCTCCTCGCCGACCGTAGCTCTCCTCTCATGCCTTCCGCCATCGTCATCTCGCTCTTTGCTGGGATCCGGAACCGCCACACCATTACCTGTCTGCTCTCCACCTTTGGCATTCGAGCTTCCCTGATGCGGTAGAAGGGTTGCATCCAAGGAGCCATCCAAACTCGTGTCTATCCCATTGACAGCGCTTATTCCGGATCCATGCCCACCAAAGTCAGTGCCTGTACCTCTCGTGATAAGGCCATCAACCAGAATGTCAACAATAACCTGGAACTCTGGGGGTGCATCCACAGCCACCCAAGTTTCTTGTTCCAGCAGAGCTGTGATCTTCGACATCTGCAGGGTAATACATCAAAAACAAAAGGAAAACAAAACAAAACAAAACACTTAGGACACATCTATCTCACCGCTCTTCCCATTCCTTTGCATCCTTCATTACCTTTCTGCTCAAATTCAGAGAGTTGCCAGATCTCTTTTAAAGGTGCAGGAGTCTACTGAGCATCGCAGCATAGGCAGGCCTTGCAACCCGTTTCAATTGTTGCATTTTGTGGGCGGCAATTCTGATCTGAAGAAAAGTTCCGGTGGGCCAGCCGAAACATAACACACGCTGAAGACACTGCTTGCTAACGCACAGAATCACAAATGGTTGCGCACTTCTTATATTGAAACTTCCAGACCAAGAGGCAAAGGAATGCAATCCACAGTGTTCATGACATTCAGTCACCCACATGTCTTGCTGAAGTAGAGCACTACCTTCTTAACCTGAACACACTTACGGTCACTATTGCTGTATTTGGACTGAAAGATAATACCATGGTAACCGTCCGGAAGTCCAGACCGGGTTCCAGACAGTCCGGTTTCCGGTGTCCGGTCCTTATGTCCGGATGGAGGCCCCTGGGGCAAAAATTCAAAAAAAAAAAGGGGGCAGCCCAGGACGTTTATTGGGTCCTGGCCGCCCCTTGAAAAATAACGAGGTGATTTTTCAGTGTCGTTTCACCCCACCGGACAGGGCCTAGAGGTCCGGACACAGGACACTGCAGGTTTTTGGGGTGGCGGGTTTCGCACAGGCCCGAGCAATTTCACAGCAGCCGTTTCGACGTGGCGCCCGCTGCTGCTGCCCGTTGTGTGTGTGTGCGGGGGAGAGAGAGAGAGAGAGAGAGAGAGAGCACTAACAGTGCTGCCAGTCTGAAGACTCTGACGGTCTGAATTGAACTGCAAAGTTCGAACTTTTAAGTTATATATGAAGTTATGAACTTAAATTACTGAATCCAAAGTTCAAAGTTCAAAGTTCAAAGTTAATCATACTTTTTTCAAAAAAAGATGCTCTGTTTCTTTAGTCTTGTGCCTGCTTTGCACTGTTTGCAACTTCGCATGTCTGCTAGTTAAATGTGCTGGTTGATTTGCTGCAAGACACGTGCTCTGCTGTCTGAACTACAGAGTGCAAAGCAGGTAAGTGCCTGCCAACCCCCCGACCCCGCAACCCCCCCGCTTTTTTTTTTTTTTTTTTTGGGTCCGGACATTTTTGCATCCCGGGGACCCGTCCGGACTGTCCTGTGTCCGGTGATGTCCGGATCACCGGACAGTCCAGACCGGTCCAGACACTGGTCCGAAAGACAGTCCGAAAGTGTCCGGTGTCCGGGTCCGGGGTTACCATGGATAATACCCCTAATACAGCTTTAATGACCGTACGTTGTAATCGGGGGAAGAAGGTAGACTATATGCACCAAAAAAAAAAACATCCGAGAAGCTGGGTGGGGATCCGGGCCGCCTGGCTGGCTGGCGGGGGCCCGGGGGAGGTCCCGGGCGGCCTGGCCGGGAAGGGCACCCGGTTGGGGGTCGGGCCCCCCCAGCGCAGTCACCTGTCTGGGGGTCTCGGACACCCTTTTCACTACTGTTGGCCTCCCGCAGGCCTACCAGGTCCGAACGGCCCGAAAAACCGTCCCGTCAGGCCCAGTAGGCCTACGGGATTTTTGAAAATTTGTGACGGCTCTGTGGCCATCAATCCACCATGATCGACGGCCACAGAGCCGGTGGATCTTCCCACCAGCCTTCCCCCCCGGTTCGAACCTCCAATCCGCTGGGGTGGTCTGCCACTCGCCCCCCAGTACGATCGGAGTTGCCCCGGCGCCGTTCTGCTGCGCCGTCGCCCGTCGCCATCGCCATCGAGAGTCCTGCTGCAGCTGCTACGACGAAGGCCCCGACTGTCCTGCTGCTGCTACGATGAAGGCCCCGTCTGTCCTGCAGCTGCTACGACGAAGGCCCCGACTGTCCTGCTGCTGCTACGACGAAGGCCCCGACGACGAAGACACCGTCCTTCTTCTTCTTCTTCTTCATCCTGTCGTAATCGTTTAGGGTTGTGTTGGACGGGCAGACGAAGGCCCTGCTGCTAGGTTAACTGTTGCAGGTAACGACGAAGGCCCCGACAGACTTCTTCTTCTTCTTCTTCTTCATTCGGTAGGTCACGTGAGATACAACAAGCCGTCCACCTACCACCCCCCTTCTCGGCTCTTCTTCTTCTTCTTCTTCTTCTTCTTCTTCTTCTTCTTCTTCTTCTTCTCTCCTCCTCCTCTCGTTTTCTAAGTCTTCCCCTCGTCCCCCTCACATTTTCATCTTCCTCAACCTTTCTTCTTCGTCGTCTTCCCCTTCTCCCCCACTCGTTTTCTTTCTCCTCCTCTTCTTCTTCTTCTTCTTCTTCTTCTTCTTCTTCTTCTTCTTCTTCTTCCCATCCTTCCCTACTCCCTCCCTGCCTTTCTTCACACCCTACCGCCATACCCCGCCGCCATACCCTACCTCAACCATACTTCTTCTTCTTCTTCTTCTTCTTCATTCCGCAGGTCACGTGAGATACGACAGGCCGTCCACCTAAACTTCTCAGCTCATCTTCTTCTTCTTCTTCTTCTTCTTCTTCTTCTTCTTCTTCTCCTCCTCCTCGCCGCATCTTCTTAGCCTTCCCCTCGTCCCCCTCGCGTTTTCATCTACCTCCACAACCTTTCTTGTTCTTCTTCGTCTTCCCCTCCTCCCCCACTCGTTTTCTTTCTCCTCCTCCTCTTCTTCTTCTTCTTCTTCTTCTTCTTCTTCTCCTTCTCCTTCTTCTAGTTCGTCGACATTCGGTAGGTCACGTGATACACGACAGGTTAAAAAAAAAAAAAAAAAAACGAAGGTCACCCTCCTCTTGCTCCTCCGCTCATCTTCTTCATCTTCTCCTTCTTCTCTCCTGGTTGTCCTCTCGTCTTCTTCTTCTTCCCCTCCTCACCCTCTTCTTCTTCTTCTTCTTCTGCTGCTGCTGCTGCTGCTGCTGCTGCTGCTGCTGCTGCTCCATTCGCTACGTCTTCTTCTCTCCTCTTCTTCTTCCCCTCCTTCCCTACTCCCTCCCTGCCTTTCTCCATCCTCCMRTCCATCCATCCCTCCCTCCATCCCATCTCGCCATCCTCCATCATCCATCATCCATCCATCCATCCCTCCATCCCATCTCGCCATTCTCCATCCTCCATCATCCATCCCTCCCTCCCTCCATCCCATCTCGCCATCCCTCCCTCCCATCTCAGAGATGCGTTCGAATATGGATCGATATTGGCTACATGCAGCTGATATGCTGCTGAAGAACTCATAGATTTCCTGCAAGTTGTCAGTCTGCAAGTCTTCTTCTTCTTCTTGTCCATCTTGTCAGTCTTCTTCTTCTTCTTCTTCTTCTCCTCCTCCTCTTCAGTCTTCTTCGTTTTTTGTCAGTCTTGTTCTTCTTCAGAATGAAAGGGTAGATAACATGCATGCAGCAGACATCTTAGCAGCAGTCAACAAACATGCAGAGCCCCCAACCCGTTACATATCAGATGACATACATTCAGCAT